GGGAACAAACACCAGCAAGGAGCCTGTTCTCTTCTGATGGTCATAAAGAATGATAAGTTATTCCTTAGGACAGGAATGCCAAACCAAATCTTCCCCAAAGTCTTATTAAGGAAGCTCAACTAAATGCACTTTATCTTATTGCTGCTACTCATTTTTCTCATGTGTTATGTTGGTGGAGCTCTTTGAACTACTCTTACCAGTGAGTTTTCTCTCTGCTGTATTTAAGGTGATGAATTTGAATGAATTATTCCTGTGCCAATGCTGTAAACAGTGGAAACCAAAATAAAGATGAATTGGAAAACTATTTATCCTGATGCGTGCTGTGTGTGGCGATACAAAGTCTTCAACTGTAAGTATAATGGTTACTGAGATGATGATATAAATTGGAGTAAATTGCGTGTTAGTAGTGACCTTGAATCTGTGGGGTTACTGTGAAAATTAACAAGGAGACCAATAATACTTAATTATCCAATGGAAAGTTTGAGAGATTCCTTCTTAAGTTACACTAAAAATGGTGGTATGGGATCAGTGATTTCTTGAGAATATTGCAGGAAGTCGTGGTCAGCAAATACTGTGTTGAGAGCCTGGAATCGTGGTCAGTGCCTGTTCTCAGTTGGTTACTGGCTGCCCCATCCCTGGCAGTGTTCAAGGCCGGGTTGGACACAGGGGCTTGGAGCGAGCTGCTCCAGTGGAAGGGGTCCGTGCCCGTGGCAGGGGTTGGAGCTGGAGGAGCTTTAAGGTCCCTTCATCCCAAACCAGATGGGGGTTTGGTGGTCTGTGTCTGCTGGGGCCCATCTTTGAGCGTGAATTTGGGATGGTTCCCGTTTGCCTGCGGGGTGCTGGGCTCCGCAGCACCTCCTCACCCGGGGAGCTGGGGCCGAGCCCCGCAGGAGCGGGGCCGCAGCCGCGGCTCGGTTCCGGCTTCCCCCGGCCCAACCTTTCCGCGCATGCCGGGAGCCAAGGGGCGGGCCCAGCCGCGGAGGCGGCCGCTGGAGCGGCGGAGCCGTGGCCGTGGCCGAGGCCGAGGCCGTGCGGGGGGAGTCCTGGCGGCGGCTGGAGCAGGCCGGGGAGCGGCGGCGGTGCGCGGAGGTGGGCCCGGGGCCGGGGGGAACGTCTGCAGCCGTGGGGCCGCTCGGCCCGGCGAGACTCGGGCTCCGCACAGCGCTGTGCGGGGGGGGTGAGCGGCTCTGTGCGGCTGCCGGGCCTCTGGGCGAGGGAGGGGGAGGCTGACAGTGGCCGGGGCCATCCCCCGTGGGCAGGGGGCTCAGAACCAGCGCGTGTGCGCAGGAACAGCTCTGGGGAGCCCTGCGTGGCTGTTTGTGAGACAGCTTTCTTCTTGAATCCGGTATCCCAGAGGGGGGAGTGCTTAGCGCCGGGGACAGCCATCAGTGACTTCTAACTGCAAGGAGTTAAGCTCCTGTTCAGAAAGGATTCAGACTAAAGCCTGAGTTCCTGGCTCTGAGCATGAAGGACTAACAGCTTCTGATCGATTATGCTGAGAGGGTCTCATCTGGTAGAACACGGCCAGAAAGTCCCTTGGCTAATGTTATTTTCAGAGTATTTGCTTTCCGATGAGCAATGATGAGAGGATGCTCTTGGCATTGTCCTGTGAGAACTGGTTTTGTTCAAATAAGCTCAGTTTTAGTGTCTCAAGACTGGCATTTCGATTTTATGCCCAGTGGTGCACCTCTCACTATATATATATATATATATATCACAAAAAGATATATTGTAGTTCTACTGTGAGCACTGCTCTTCGTTCCAACCAGTGCTGTTGTACAGGACTTGTATTTAATTCCTCATGTCCAGTTGTCAAGGCAGCAGACACAAAAACAAATGGGATGAGTTTTGTGGAAGGGTTTGGGATCCTTTGGGACATAAGGTCCTGGAGAAGCACAGAGTTGTCTTGAGGATATAATTGATTACTCAAGCCAAAAGCAAGGGGGGGGGGGTGTAGGTTTAGTTTTCTTAATTAAAACAGCACTTTCTACTAATTTAGGGGAGATGGTGGTGGTGTCACCATGTTGAACAGTGTGAGAGCTTCCCACTCAAACTGTCTGTCTGTCTATCTATCTTTGTATCTATTTTTCTATCTTTCTATCTTTTTGTCTATCTATATCTATATCTATCTGTAATCTTTTTCTCCCCTCTCTCCCAATAAAAGGGTAATAACCTTTAGTGCTTAATGTGTGATATTGGAGTTGCCAGAGTCGTAATTGCCTAGTCATAATTGAGCCTTTTGGAGTCTTCCTTCCAGAACTGGAGGACAGTTTGGGCTCAGTATTTCTTTTGGCTGTAGTAAATACATTCATATTCCTTAGTCATATTTTGAACTTCTGAGCATCCTGCTGGTATCCCATTATAAATTTGGATGCTTGAAAAGCACATTCAAGCAGAATAAGGTTGTTCTAAATATCAGCCTCTGAATCAAATGGCTTTTCTTTGGCTTTGTGGTGCGAGTTTTGTCATGCTTAGTGTTTGTGAGAGTCTCTTGTCTCTGCTCAGTCAGCTGCAAGGTTTTGGGTGCAAACTGTTTGACACTCCGTCTGAGGGGGGTATGCGGTGGTGCTAGTCCTTAACGTAAAAAGCTTTGAGACTGGCTGGTTTCTCAGGAGCAATGATCAACGCTCCCAGTGGTCCAGCAGCTGTTTGTGGTGTTCATGAGAAGTCCCCTGCAAGTGGTTTCTCCTGGGACTGCTCCTTCCCTTCATGCTTCCACTGATGTCGTTCACCCTTCCTCTGGCTTTACAGTGACACGTCTTCACAGGATGGAGATAGAGCACCTGCAGAGGCTGCGTGAGGCCAACCAGGACCTTCTGCAAAGGCTCAGAATGAAGCAGGAAGAGATCAGAAAAAGGCTCCCCAGCAAGGCATCTCTTGATAAGAGAACAGCTCCTGAAAGCTCTGTCCCCTTGCCCACAAGAAGGGTATGTGTTGTGTCTGTGCTAGAAGGGCTGGGAAGCAAATGGACCTTGTCTGAAAGACAGCAGCTCTGCCTATGGAGTGATGCACTAAAGGAGACAGATGGACACAGAGGAGCTGGTAGAAAGTAGGATGTGGAACATGGAGACAGAAAAGTAGCTGTTTGTTGCTTATCCTGTGATCTCCACCATGTTCTTGCAAAGGGGTCAGAGATCAGTTCCTGCCCAAGGAATGTAGGTTTCTTAACCTAAGATAGGAATGAACTTTGTGGAACGTACACTTTTTGTATCTTCTAAGCATGAAGGCTGAAAGTTAGTGTTCCTCAAATTGGGAAGAGCTGCGTTTCTCTGGAAGTGGATCCCTTCCTTATCTTCTCCAGGCGCTTAAATAATGTCTCATGAATAATACATAGATTTGCTTTTTTCCCCACAGGAATATAAAGGGGTGAGCAGACTAGAAAGAGAGGTTGATTTTCTGTTTATTGGGTGAAGTGTCCTAGCAAAAGGTGTGTGTAATCTGAATGGTGCCATGTGGTGTGAGAGTCTCTCTCCTTACAGAAGACAAATCCAACCGATGCTGTGGAGCCTACATCTGACCCTGCAGTGTTGGTGTCTGTGGAACCTGGAGCTTACGCAGCCAGAGCAGCCCTCTGTTGAGCTCTTAAACACAGCAGCAGTGACAAGGGGGTACAGCAACAAGAAGAGAAGATGCAGGAAGCAGTAGGTTTGGATTCCAGCTTTCCTGGGAAAGAGAAGAATGTTGTGCCAGTGACTGCAGTCGTTACCTGTGGCAGAGAAACCTCTGAAGTGGAGAGGGGTGGCCATGCTCAAGGAAGTGCAGAGGAAGAATCCTTCCCTCTGGGACATGGAGAGAACAGAAGCCAGTCCACTCTGCTAGATGGCTTCCATGAGAAGGAGCAGCTTGAGGGTGCTCCGGCCTCTTCACTGAGCAGCAGCCAAGGTGAAGAGACCAGCAAGCAACATGTGGTTGTTAGAGAGCCCGTAGTTCATAAATCAGTCTTGCTGACATCTCAGTCCCAAGAGCCAAAGGTAAATGGGGTTTTTGCTTGTTGTCATCGATCAATAGAAGGATGGGGGAGAAAGGCTCAGAAGAACATTGCTTGCTCTGTTCTCCCCGTGCAATTTGGAAGTTGGGGTCAGAGCTGTTCCCAGCCTTAGCAGCTGGGGGCTTGTGGCAGTTTGTTCAGGCCCTACTTTCCTTAGCCCTTGAAATGAAGACTTCAGCACTTTGCTGTGAGACTCCTTGTCCTCTGTGTATGTGATTCACCTCTCAGGGAGAGCAGCCTGGTGTGCTGCTGCTGCCACATAGCTTGTTTGCATAGGTGTGGAGGGTAGGTTATTGCTGTGATCTTCCTCCAGGGCAACGGAGGTGGCCTGATTTTTGGGGATGTATGATGCAGGGAGCATTTTGTTTAAAGCCCTGGCCTATTCTGCCTTTCCCTGGGCAAGTCCCCTGCCTCCTCTTTCTGCTTTGTGACTGGAGAAAACAAAGGGCTGCTGAGCAAGTTACTGGTAGAGGCATAGATAGACTCCAGCCACAAACTCAGCCACAGCTGTCCCATTTGAACAGTTGTCTCCTAAGCTGTATCTTTGAATGTCTGCTAATTGCCTTATGGATTGTTTTCTTCCCAAAAGGAAGCTGGCTGCATCACTTGTGAGTCTGACCCTGAAGAATACACCATACCTGTGAGCACCTGGTCCGTGCGTCCTTTCCTGGGCTACGACTGGATTGCAGGTGAGTCCTAAACATGAAGTGAAGCTCCCATTATGTTGTAGTAATGTGACAACTTCAAACCCAGTTTACGGCCCCTTAAAGTTGAGGTGTGACAGAACTGCAGCCCTAGAGCCCACGTAGAAGGTCTCAGCAGAGGAGCTGCAGTTTTGTCAGATGCCATTCCTTGTCCAGTGCATCCCTGGAATGGTGATGCGGCAGTGGAATGGGAAGCCAGGCAGCAAACGTCAAATCTAAGTGAGGTCAGAGGGGATACCAAGTAGCAGTAACGAATGAACGCAATAAGGGACCCAAATCATGCAGTAAATCTCTGGCTTGACACGATGGCATGTCTTTCTTAGTATTCATTTTGGTGCTTCAGACCTTTGCTTTGTCTGTTTTGTGTGAGGTTTGCTTTGGAGCTTCTCTGTGTGTGGTAAATCCTTGACCTTTTCCCTTTCCTTGGCCCTCTCAGGACTCTTATGATCTGGTCGCAATTACAGAGACATGGTGGGACAGCTCACATGACTGGAATATAGTCATGGAGGGCTATGTCCTTTTCAGGAAAGACAGGCCAGCCAGGCGGGGTGGTGGGGTTGCTCTTTATGTGCGACAGAAGCTACAGTGCGTTGAGTTCTGTCCGGGGACAGATGATGAGCGAGTTCAGAGTCTGTGGGTGAGAATTAAGGGGCAGGCTGGCAGGGGCGATACTGTTGTGGGGGTCTGTTACAGGCCACCGGATCAGGGTGAGGAAGTTGACGAGGCCTTCTACAGGCAGCTGACAGCGGCCTCACGGTCACAGGCCGTGGTCGTCGTGGGGGATTTTAACTTCGCTGATGTTTGCTGGAAGGACTACTCGGCAACCCAGCCGCAGTCCAGGAGGTTCCTCCAGTGTATGGATGATAACTTCCTCATGCAAATGGTGGATGAGCCAACCAGGAGAAGTGCGCTGCTGGATCTCATCCTCACTAACAAGGAGGGTCTGGTTGAAGGAGTGAAGGTTGAGGGCTGCCTTGGTTGCAGCGACCACGAGATGGTAGAATTCAGGATCTTGTGTGGTAGGGTCAGTAGAATAGCAAGTAGAATTGCAACCCTGGACTTTAGCAGGGCAAACTTTGGCCTCTTCAAGCGATTGCTAGGGGAAATCCCGTGGGCTAGGCTGCTTGAAGGGAAAGGGGCCCAAGATAGTTGGTTGACGTTCAAGGACTGCTTTTTCCGAGCTCAAGATCGGAGCATCCCGACACGTAGGAAGTCGAGGAAGAGGGTCAGGAGACCTGCGTGGTTAAATAGGGAATTGCTCGGTATGCTCAAGTGGAAGAGGAGAGTTTACAGGTCATGGAAAGAAGGGCTGGCCACTTGGGAAGAATATAAGGCTGCTGCTAGAGGATGTAGGAAAGCTGCTAGGATGACTAAGGCCTCCTTGGAATTAAAGCTGGTGAGAGGGGTCAAGGACAGCAGAAAGAGCTTTTTCAAATACATGGCAGATAAAACTAACACCAGAGGTAATGTAGGCCCGCTGATGAACGGGATGGGTGCCCTGGTGACAGAAGATACAGAGATGGCAGAGTTACTGAATGCCTTCTTTGTCTCTGTCTACTCTGCTGGAGGCAGTCCTGAAGAGCCCTGTACCGCTGAGACCCCGGATGAAGATAGGTCAACGGAGCGGTCTGCCTTAGTTGATGAGGAATGGGTTAAGGAAATTTCTGGAGGGTCTGGTTGAAGGAGTGAAGGTTGAGGGCTGCCTTGGTTGCAGCGACCACGAGATGGTAGAATTCAGGATGTTGTGTGGTAGGGTCAGTAGAATAGCAAGTAGAATCGCAACCCTGGACTTTAGCAGGGCAAACTTTGGCCTCTTCAAGCAATTGCTAGGGGAAATCCCATGGGGTAGGCTGCTTGAAGGGAAAGGGGCCCAAGATAGTTGGTTGACGTTCAAGGACTGCTTTTTCCGAGCTCAAGATCGGAGCATCCCGACACGTAGGAAGTCAAGGAAGTGAGTCAGGAGACCTGCGTGGCTAAATAGGGAATTGCTCGGTATGCTCAAGTGGAAGAGGAGAGTTTACAGGTCATGGAAGGAAGGGCTGGCCACTTGGGAAGAATATAAGGCTGCTGCTAGAGGATGTAGGAAAGCTGCTAGGATGACTAAGGCCTCCTTGGAATTAAAGCTGGCGAGAGGGGTCAAGGACAGCAGAAAGAGCTTTTTCAAATACATGGCAGGTAAAACTAACACCAGAGGCAATGTAGGCCCGCTGATGAACGGGGCGGGTGCCCTGGTGACAGAAGATACAGAGATGGCAGAGTTACTGAATGCCTTCTTTGTCTCTGTCTACTCTGCCGGAGGCAGTCCTGAAGAGCCCTGTACCGCTGAGACCTCGGATGAGGATAGGTCAACAGAGCGGTCTGCCTTAGTCGATGAGGAATGGGTTAAAGACCAGTTGAGCAATCTGGACATCCATAAATCCATGGGTCCAGATGGGATGCACCCGCGGGTGCTGAGGGAACTGGCGGAGGTCATTGCTAGACCGCTCTCCATCATCTTTACCAAATCTTGGGAAACGGGAGAGGTGCCTGAGGACTGGAGGAAAGCAAATGTCACTCCCGTCTTCAAAAAGGGCAAGAAGGAGGACCCGGGTAACTATAGACCGGTTAGCCTCACCTCCATTCCTGGGAAAGTGATGGAACACCTTATCCTTGGGGCCATCTTAAGGCATATCAAGGATAAGAGGGTTATGAGGGGCAGTCAACATGGCTTCACCAAGGGGAAGTCGTGCTTGACCAATCTCGTAGCCTTTTATGAGGAAATAACACGGTGGATGGATGATGGCAGAGCGGTGGATGTGGTCTACCTTGACTTCAGCAAAGCGTTTGACACGGTCTCCCACAGCATCCTTGCGGCTAAATTGAGGAAGTGTGGTCTGGATGATCGGGTAGTGAGGTGGACTGTGAACTGGCTGAAGGAGAGAAGCCAGAGAGTTGTAGTCTATGGGCCGGAGTCTAGTTGGAGGCCTGTATCTAGTGGAGTGCCTCAAGGGTCGGTACTGGGACCAGTATTATTTAATATATTCATCAACGATTTAGATGAGGGAATTGAGTGTACTATCAGCAAGTTTGCTGATGACACTAAGCTGGGAGGGGTGGCTGACACGCCAGAAGGCTGTGCTGCCATCCAGAGACCTGGACAGGCTGGAGAGCTGGGAGGGGAATAACTTGATGAAATATAACAAGGGAAAGTGTAGAGTCCTGCATCTGGGCAGGAACAACCCCAGGTTCCAGTATAGATTGGGGAACGACCTGTTAGAGAGCAGTGTAGGGGAGAGGGACCTGGGGGTCCTGGTGGACGACAGGATGACCATGAGCCGACACTGTGCCCTTGTGGCCAAGAAGGCCAATGGCATCCTGGGGTGTATTAGAAGGGGGGTGGTTAGTAGGTCGAGAGAGGTTCTCCTTCCCCTCTACTCAGCCCTGGTGAGACCCCATCTGGAATATTGTGTCCAGTTCTGGGCCCCTCAGTTTAAGAAGGACAGGGACCTGCTGGAGAGAGTCCAGTGCAGGGCAACTAAGATGATGAAGGGAGTGGAGCATCTCCCTTATGAGGAGAGGCTGAGGGAGCTGGGTCTCTATAGTTTGGAGAAGAGGAGACTGAGGGGTGACCTTATTAGTGTATATAAATATATAAAGGGGGAGTGTCACGAGGATGGAGCCAGGCTCTTCTCAGTGGCAAACAATGAAAGGACAAGGGGCAATGGGTACAAACTGGAACACAAGAGGTTCCACTTAAACCTGAGAAGAAATTTCTTCTCAGTGAGGGTGACGGAACACTGGGACAGGCTGCCCAGGGAGGTTGTGGAATCTCCTTTGGAGACATTCAAAGCCCACCTGGACACGTTCCTGTGTAACCTCCTCTAGGTGTTCCTGCTCCGGCAGGGGGATTGGACTGGATGAGCTTTTGAGGTCCCTTCCAATCTCTAACATACTGTGATACTGTGAGGTCTCCCCGCAGCCTTCTCTTCTCCAGGCTGAACAGCCCCAACTTTCTCAGCCTGTCTCCATACAGGAGGTGCTCCAGTCCCTGATCATCCTCGTGGCCTCCTCTGGACTTGTTCCAACAGATCCATGTCCTTTTTATGTTGAGGACACCAGAATTGTACACAATACTCCAAGTGAGGTCTCACGAGAGCAGAATAAAGGGGCAGGATCACCTCCTTCGACCTGCTGGTCACGCTCCTTTTGATGCAGCCCAGGATACGGTTGCTTTCTGGGCTGCAAGCGCACACTGAAGCCGACTCATGTTCATTTTCTCATCAACCAGCACCCCCAAGTCCTTCTCCGCAGGGGAGATGCCAGGGACTTGCGATGCTCCAAGCTGTACACCGGGACAGACACCTAAGATGCCTGAGGGCCGGGTGGGCTGGCCTCCTACAAGTCCCACAAGCCCCGCCTGGCGGCCGGGGATTACATCTCCCAGGCTTGCGCGGTGCGGCACAGCCCGGCCCTGGCCGCTCCCGCACGACGCGGAGGGCGCGGCGCGGCGCGGAGGGCGACGACAGTAGCAGCAGCAGCAGCAGCAGCGGCGGAAGGGCCCGGGTGCGCGGCGGCGGGGTTGTGCCGGAGCCGTGCCGGAGCCGAGCCAGGTACCGCAGCAGAAAGCGGGCCTAGGGCGGGGAGATCGCGGGGTATGCCCTGGGAAAGGTTACCGGAAGCTGCTCCAGTACTGGGTGAGTACGCACTGGGATCAGGCCCGGGGAGGATGCGCTGATCCTGGATGTTGGTCCAGGCCCTACCGTGCTGGCTCCTGGCAGGATGCGCTGTCCACAGTCCCCGGTTGCTGCCCCTGGAGGATGCTCAGCCCTAGAAGAGGGTTTCGGGAGTGGGGGTGCTCCCCGGGGAGCTGCCGTCTCCAGCCGGAGTGCTTCGAGGGGCCCAAACACCAGGGGGACACCGGGGACAGAGCTAGGGTGTCCACAGAGGGGACCGGAGGGGTAGGAGAGAGCTGGCTGGGGGTGCCTCCAGTCCCCAGCAGTGCCAATGTGAACTCGAGGTCCCTCAGCAGGAGAGTGACACATAGCTGTATGACACACTTCGCCTGGGTAATGGCAGCCAGGATTTCACAAACACAGCACGAGGGGCTCTGGGGACAGGCTAGGAAACTCATTGAGCAGGGACATGTCTTACCAGCCTTCAACCAGACAGGGTTATGGGGTGTCTTCCTGGCCAAGGCATGGCTGTCAGGGTGCTGGAGTCCAGCTTTCAGGGCCTGGTGATGCAAGGGGTCCCCACACATGCTGGGGACTAGGGTGCTGCTGAGAAGGTGAGGTTCTGCTGGGGCTCCAGTTGTAAAGGTCATTGCAAAGCTCACAAATATTCCCTCAGAGTGAGGGTTCCCCATCCCAGCAGGAGTATTTTGGGGTCTGAGGATGTTGCTTGGGCGGTGGGAAGCTTGGAAGGCATAAAGGGTCATGTTACCTCCTGCAAACAAGGGAAAAACATAGCTGGATGAAACCAAATAACTAGACCTCTAAAACTTGCTGAGCTTCCCTTTGGGAAAACACATAGGTTCCATGCTTGCTGGCAGAAGCAGTTTTGCCCACTGTTATCTGAGGATCCCCTGTTTCCAGTACAGTAGCACTAGCCACATCCCAGCCATCCTGGGGTGGTGAGTTCCAATGGGAAGTTGCTCAGCGCTTTGGCCTTGGTTTGCCTTTTGGTTCCCCTTTTATTATTGCCAGATGTTGTGTCCACAGCAGTGATGCTTGAGGTGGGAAGAGGAAGCTACCACCCCCTGCAACCTGCCATGCACTGATTTGGAGAAAACTCATATCAGTAACCACCAGGTGATTCTGGAAAATCTTACTTTGTAATTTTCGTTCTCTCTATAGTTGCTAACAAACCCAAGGTTCTTGAGGTTATTTATTTACAACCCTATTCTCCAATCAACCCCATTCTTCAATCCACCCTATTCTTCAATCAACCCCACTCTTCAATTCACCCTTTTTCTTGTCCTATTGCAAATTCTCTTGCAACTGAGTTATTTTATTTTTATTTGAAGTTTCCTGAAGTATTCCCCTGTTTCTATTTGATGCTTAATTTTGTTTCTCTTCCATTTGTCAGAGTTCATCATGGTTTGTTTGCAACACCAAAAGGAGCATTGGACCGTTATGCATGTAATTACAACCATTCCTATTTTTACAAATACAGTAAAAGCCAACTGTCTCAACCAGGAGAGACTGGGGATCCATGATGTTAATTTTTCTCAAATTTCCTCAAATCCCCATGAGGTGTTGTCCTGTGCCACCTCATGAAATATTTTAACTTGTATCCACATTTCCTTTAGATCAGTCGTGATTCTTCCACTTTGATCTATATAGGAACAACAGCTATCATTGATTACATAACAAGCTTCTCCTTGGGATGCTAACAGTGTATCTAATGCCATTCTGTTTTGGAGCACTACTTTAGACAGGCTGGTTATTTCTTCTTGTAATGCTAGAATAGCATCAGCAGTTCGATTTCCCATTTCCTCAATTGCAGCCGAGATATTTACAATTGCTTTTTCTAAGTCACTAACACCTAGAGATGGAATACGCCATCTAACAAAGCTATGGAAAGCAGTGTTTTGTTTTGCTATGGGATCATATCCTCATTTGATTCTTTTAATAAGACTCCGAACCCAGTTTCCAGAGGGATGAATGTCAATTACTGTAAAGTTTGGAACCACTACTCCTACTGTGCATGCTCCTTTCCAGTTAGGAGGCAAAGCCTTATAGGCATTTTCTCCACATAACCAATATCACCCTTTCCCTTCAGGAATATTCCAATAACCAGTTAAATGTTTTTGAAGGTAAAGCTGCATGGACCAGCTGCAATATGTGTAATTTCCAACTGACATGTTGCCTTAATTAAGAGTTTTTTTAGTGGTTACACATTTAACTTCTGACATATTTGAGTCTTGTATCCTTAAAACCTGTAAATTTGTATGGTCCTTGGATCTCTCCATAATCTATTCCAATTTGTATTAAAGGGGATAGGGAGGCCAATTAAAGGAATATCCAGTCTTTCTCCTGATTTAGGTAGCTGAGTACAGATCCAACAATCACTCTTGTTTAAGACATGAGTAACATTTTGTATCAATCTCAGATACAGATTTTGATTCCATGCTTCTACACCTATTATTATACAAGTCCAAATTATGATTGACGTAGTCTCATATGTGTGGGTCCTGAAGACACAACGCGCCATACTTTTTCTCTGTTCTGATGTGTTTCTGGTTCTGGCGCCTTCTTGATTCTTGAATAATGTATCCAAGCAGGCTGTTCCTTTATCTTCACTGCTGTAAAGGTAGTCAGTAATACCTGGTATGGTCCATTCCACTTCTCTTCTAGGGGATCACCTGCAAAATTCTTAATAAAAACCCAGTCTCCTGGCTTAAAAGGATGAATAGGATAATCTAAACCTCTGGCCCTTGTCCCTAACACTCTGCCATTTATTTCTTCTAACTGTTTTCCCAAGTTTACCAAGAATTGTTGAAGGTATCCTTCTCTTACTTCTTGAAGGCTCTCTCCTTTAAATTAAGATTGATATGGCCTTCCATATAAAATCTTCAATGGGCTAATTCCCTCCTTTGACCGAGGTTTTGTTCTGATTCTCAATAAGGCCAATGGTAATGCTTGATACCAATACAACTTAGTCTCTTGACAAATCTTCCCAAGCTGTTGTTTAATTAAGTGATTCAGTTTTTCCACTTGCCCACTGGCCTGAGGCCTGTATGGAACATGGAATTGCCAATCTATTTCCAATTTCTTGCTGATTTCTTGTAATAATTTTGCACTGAAATGTGTACCCGGTCAGAGGACATAGTTGCTGGTACCCCCAAACGAGGTATTATTTCACTTAACAGCACCTTAATCACTTGTTTTGCATTATTTGTCCGGCAAGGAAATGCTTCTGGCCACCCTGAAAAAGTATCTGTCAATACCAGCAAATATCAATAACCTCCTTTTCTAGGTAATTCAGAAAAATCTATTTGCCACTGTTGTCCCAGATAATTCACTTTTCCAATTGTCCCTACCTGATTCCTGTTTTCAGTCTTAGGGTTATTTTTCAGACATAGTTGACATTGTTTTGTCACTAATTGCACTATGGTACAGAAATTGCTTCCTATGATCTGTTTGTTTAAATGTCTATACAAAGCATTACTTCCCCAGTCTGTTTTGTTATTTTCTTCTTGTATCAACTTCGATAATTGATTATAGAGAATCACTACTTGCCCATCAGGTATTTTTATCCAACCCTTTTAATTTTCCTGTCCTTCCAAGTCTTCAGGTAGTTTCATATCTTCTTTAGAGTACCTAGGTTTATTTTGCTCAATTACCAGTTTACTGTCAGGAATTAAGGACATCACCTCAACTCTTTCTGTTTCTGCTGCCCGTTTAGCCTCATGATCAGCCAAATTATTTCCGATCTCTTGATCAGTTACCTCTTGGATGTCCTTTACAATGTATGATAGCCCCTTCATTGGGTAACTGTACAGCTTCTAACAATCATAGAATTTCTGCTGCATGTTTAATTTGTCTTCCATGGGTATTTAAAAAGTCCTCATTCTTTCCAAATTGCTCCACGTGCATGAACTACACCAAAGGCATATTTGGAATCAGTCCATATGTTTTATCTGCTTGTCCTTTGCCAACTCCAAGGGTCTAGTCAGGGCTATTATTTCTGCCTTTTGTGCTGAGGTGTTAGAGGGTAAAGGTTTAGCTTCTGTTACCTTTGAAATTGTAGTTATGGCATCGTTTACCATCTTTAACAAAGCTGCTGCCACTGGTGAACCAGGAATCTGCACCCTCCAGAAGCTCCTCCTTCAGATCTGGTCAGCTCAAATACACTGTCTCTATAGTGGCCAAGACCATTTTAAGACCCTAAACCATCTTGTCCGTGAACTGCTCTTTGCTGATGATGCCGCCCTTGTTGCCCACACAGAAGCAGCTCTGCAGCGTTTAACAACTTGCTTTGCGGAGGCGGCTGAGGTTTTTGGGCTGGAAGTCAGCTTGAAGAAGACAGTAGTCCTCTACCAACCTGCACCGCAAGAAGATTATCGTCATCCCCATATTACCATCGGTGAGTCAGACCTTAAGACAGTTCAGCAGTTCAGCTATCTGGGAAGCATCATTTCCTTGGATGCCACAATCGACAAAGAGATAGACAGCAGAATAGCAAAGGCATATAGAGCCTTTGGAAAACTCCATAAAAGAGTCTGGTGTAATAAACACCTGAGGAAAAGTACAAAGATCAGTGTCTACAGAGCCATTGTATTGTCTACTCTTTTCTATGGGTCTGAATCATGGGTCATCTACCGTCATCACCTGCGACTCCTGGAACGCTTTCATCAGCGCTGCCTCCGTACAATTGTAAACATCCATTGGACTGACTATGTGTCTAATGTCACTGTCCTCGAACAGGCAGGGGTCACCAGCATCGAGGCCATATTGCTGAAATTGCAGCTGCGCTGGGCAGGGCACGTCTCTAGAATGAAGGATCACCGCCTCCCCAAGATCGTGTTTTATGGTGAACTTGCCACCGGTAGCCGCAAGAGAGGTGCCCCAAAGAAGAGATATAAGGACTCCCTGAAACAATACCTTAGCCTTGGCCATATTGACTACCATCAGTGGTCCACCTTGGCCTCCAATCGGGAGACTTGGAGGCACACCATACATAATGCCGCTGACTCCTTTGAGAGCTCACGAAGAACTAGTCTCGAGGAGAAAAGACAACGCAGGAAGAATCGCGCCCCACCTGTTCCACCCAAGGAGACCTTCTGCTGTGCTTTTTGTAGCCGGATTTGCCTATCCCACATTGGCCTTCTTAGTCATCAGCGCGCTTGTAGTAAGCGTGGGTAAAAGCCCTTCCCAAATCTTCATTTGCAAAGTCAAGCCATGATGATGATGATGATGGGGCTACAGAACTGATGGACAGGGGTAGAGCAGCTGATGTCCTCTACCTGGACTTGTGTAAAGCGTTCGATACTGTCCCACACGACATTCTTGTCTCTAAATTGGAGAGACATCAATTTGATGAATGGACCACTCGGTGGGTAAAGAGCTGGCTGGATGGCTGCACACAAAGAGTTGTGGTCAATGGCTCAATGTCCGGCTGGAGACCTGTAATGAGTGGTGTCCCTCAGGGATCAGTGTTGGGACCGGTCTTGTTCAACATCTTTGTTGCTGACATGGACAGTGGGATTGAGTGCGCCCTCAGCAAGTTTGCCGATGACACCAAGCTGTGTGGTTCGGTTGATCCGCTGGAGGGAAGGAATGCCATCCAGAGGGACCTTGACACGCTTGTGAGGTCCCTGGCTGATGCCAACCTCATGAAGTTGAACCATGCCAAGTGCAAGGTCCTACACCTGGGTCGGGGCAATCCCAGACACAGCTACAGGCTGGGCAGAGAAGAGATTCAGAGCAGCCTGCGGAGAAGGACTTGGGGGTGCTGGTCGATGAGAAAATGAACATGAGCCGGCTTCAGTGTGCGCTTGCAGCCCAGAAAGCAACCGTATCCTGGGCTGCATCAAAAGGAGCGTGACCAGCAGGTCGGAGGAGGTGATCCTGCCCCTTTATTCTGCTCTCGTGAGACCTCACTTGGAGTATTGTGTACAGTTCTGGTGTCCTCAACATAAAAAGGACATGGATCTGTTGGAACAAGTCCAGAGGAGGCCACGAGGATGCTCAGGGGCTGGAGCACCTCCTGTATGGAGACAGGCTGAGAAAGCTGGGGCTGTTCAGCCTGGAGAAGAGAAGGCTGTGTGGAGACCTCATAGCAGCCTTCCAGTATCTGAAGGGGGCCTATAGGGATGCTGGGGAGGCACTCTTCATTAGGGACTGTAGTGATAGGGCAAGGGGTAATGGGTTAAAACTGAAACGGGGGAAGTTTAGATGGGGTGTAAGGAGGGAATTCTTCCCTGTGAGGGTGGTGAGGCACTGGAATGGGTGCCCAGGGAGGTTGTGACTGCTCCATCCCTGGCAGTGTTCAAGGCCAGGTTGGACAGAGCCTTGGGTGCCCTGGTTTAGTGTGAGGTGTCCCTGCCCATGGCAGGGGGTTGGAACTTGATGATCTTAAGGTCCTTTCTAACCCGAACTATTCTAGGATTCTATCTTAAGGTCCTTTCCAACCCTATCTGTTCTATGATTCTATGATCTTCCATAGGATAGTTTTTAATAGGAAAGAGGCAGCCTGGTGCCTGATATTTCATAATTAGTGCTGCTGGCTTCTGCACTGGCTTAATTTGTGCCAGGGCTGAGCTATGGAGATTATGCTGCCATGGGAGGATCTTGCCCTGGCATCTTCCTCTCCTTTTTGGGGTGATGGACCCTACCCCATCTCAGCAGCTGTCTTAAAAGGGGATTTTCAGCTACTTGCGGGGTATTTTTGCCTGAGGAGGAGGGTTTGGCTTTGATCCCCCCAGATCCTCACCCCCCTCCCCAGGTGCAGATGCCAGCACCTCTACCCCAGCTATTTTTACCCGTCGGGCTCACAAGCCTTCAACAGTGACCTTCCCTGAGGGATTCTGCCACATGGAGGGGGGGCAACAGCCACCAGCTGTAGCCCTGGTGGGGCACCCATGGGGTTGTGACATGGCTGTTTCTTGTTGGTGGCAGCAGCCAGTGAAGAGGGTTTTGGAGGGGCTGCTTGTGTCTTGGTAGAGGAGGAGGATTGAGCCTGAGAAAGGAGCCACTTGTTCGGCTCCAGAGGCAAGTTCATGGTTCAGCCTTTATTTGGCAGAGAGGGCACAGCCTGGGAGCTCCCCCGGTGCTGTCAGTGTGGAGCATCACAGGTTGCTTTGCACCCTTTGGAGATGGGTTGGGTGGCATTTTGCAAAGCTCAACAGGGAATTAACAAACTGTTCAGCCCCTCAGCACCCTCCTGCTTGGTGCATCCTCCAGCTCTGTCATGTGCATCACCATCCCTTCCTTCCCACTCCAGGCCGGTCTTGTAGTGGCCATGTTCCTGAGTCAGTGGTGGAGGGCAGCATGCCAGCAGGTCAGCTAAACCCCAGGGACAACGAGCACTGTCACAGCTGAAAGCCAGCCAGGACCAGGACCTGGAGTCACCGCCAAGGCATGGTGCTGCAGCTGAGGCTGGTGTGCCAAGCGTACCAGACTCCATGCCCAGCAGCACATCCTTTCACTGCGGCCAGACCATGTGGATGGAAAGCTGCAGCCCGACAAGTAGGAGCCCAGCATGGTGGCTGTTAGGGGGTCCACATCTCCCCCCCATGTCACCACTGCAGTGAGCTGAAGCTCTGTGTCCTGCAGGGAGCCTCACTGGCCAGCTGACACCATCCTGCACCCTATGCCCCGTTCCTATGCCAGAGTGGGTGCCCTCCCTGGCTCAGCCATCTGCCAACCATGAAGTACTCATTGCGCTTCTGCTTCCTCTCAATTGCCTTCCTGCTCATCTTCATCATGTCCCTCCTTTTCACCTACCCCCACCACAGCACTACCTACCTGGACCCTGGTGGGCTGGGTGGCATCCACCAGGTGAAGCTGGTGCCTGGCTACACTGGCATGCAGCAGCTCAGCAAGGGGAGCCCATATCTCCAGGGCTGCACCTGCCACCGCTGCTCAGCCGACAAGGCTGGGGCTGCTGACTGGTTTGATGGGCGCTACGATGGCACCGTATCCCCAGTGTGGACCAAGGACAACATGGACCTGCCACCTGATGTCCAGAGGTGGTGGATGGTGAGCAAGGGGATGGGCCCCCTCATGGGTCTTCCACACCTCGGGCACAGGGGGGCACAGCTTTGTCCTCCACTGGCTGATGACACCCCACCCTCCTCCACCCCTTGCAGATGCTGCAGCCGTAGTTCAAGTCCCACAACACACACAAGGTCCTGAGCAAGCTCTTCCAGATCGTGCCAGGCGATGATCCCTACCGGTCCCGTGACCCACGTCACTGCCGCCGCTGTGCTGTGGTTGGCAACTCAGGCAACCTGCGAGGCTCTGGTTATGGGCCGGAGATTGACAGGCACGACTTCATCATGCGGTAAGGACAGGGGACCCACTCAGCCCCACAGCCAGCACGGAGGCACAGGGTGATGCTGGCAACACCAGGGGGTGTTGAGCTCCCATTGGTCACTGCAGAAGCATCTCCAAGTCTGGAGGTGCCAGGGGCTTGTCCCTGCTCCAGCTGCTCAGTCAAGAAGCCCATCATGGGTTCTGCTGGGTGCTGGAATGGGTCCAGCCCTGCCACCTCCCCTGGGCTGAACTGGGGGACCACCAGCTCATCCCAGCACCCTGAGCATCAGCAGGCTGGGAAACTGCCCCTTGGCAGCATTCAGCAGGTCACAGGGGACACCTGTGTCATCTGCAAGGGATGGGGTGTCTGGGAGGGGAGTGTCACCTTCCCCACTCTCTCCCCAGGATGAACCAGGCCCCTACAGTGGGTTTTGAGGGTGATGTGGGTGGTCGGACCACGCACCACTTCATGTACCCCGAGAGTGCCAAGAACCTGCCTGCCAATGTCAGCTTTGTGCTGGTGCCCTTCAAAACCCTGGACCTACTCTGGATTGCCAGTGCCCTCTCCACCGGCCAGATCAGGCTGTAAGTACACGGCTGGCATCAGCAGCACTGGACTGGTCACTCACCTACCACAGGGGCATATCCCCTGGGTTACTCCCTCAGTTCCTTCTTCCCAGAGCATCCCAATGGCTGGCAGCTGAGCCTGGGATTGGACGATATGGGACCCCCGGTTGCTCACCTGCCTCTCCACTTTCTTCCCAGCACATACGCACCTGTGAAGCCTTTTCTGGGGGTGGACAAAGAAAAGGTAAGGAAGGCTCACCCCTACTGCTGAGATAAGCACCTGTTTGGCCATGGCCCCTGTCACCCCATCACCTCCTGGAGTCTTGGTGCTACTTCTTGGGGTGCTAATGCTGAAAGGAGTGTGGATGGCTATAGCACTAACCCCAGTGTGTTCTCCCAGGTGCAGATCTACAACCCTGCCTTCTTCAAGTACATCCACGATCGCTGGACAGAACACCATGGGCACTACCCCTCTACTGGCATGCTGGTGCTCTTCTTTGCCCTCCATGTCTGTGATGAGGTGGGTGATAGCTCCTTGGGGTCCTCCTCTGGGCTGCTGGGTCCTGGCTGGCACAGGCTGTAGTTGCTGGGACCCTGAACCTTGTGGGGTTAAGGAGGAAGGTAGCTTCTTTGGGACCAACCACAGCAGTTTCACTTGCTCCAGTTGCCTGACAACTGGATGGGCAACCTGCCTGACAATGGTGATGGGCACCCTTGAGTAGTGCAAAGGCCAGAGGAATGTATGGTGTGAAATCCCAGCAGGGTAGCAGATGCTCAACCAAGGGGGGTCCCCAGCCTGTTGTGGGAGTAGGGCTGGCTTACCCCCCTCCTCACTGATGCAGGTGAACGTCTTCGGGTTTGGCGCCGACAGCCGGGGCAACTGGCACCACTACTGGGAAAACAACCGCTACGCCGGGGAGTTCAGGAAGACGGGAGTGCATGACGCCGACTTCGAGGCACACATCATTGACATGCTGGCCAAAACCAGCAAGATTGAGTTGTACCGGGGGAACTGAGCCTGCCCCAGTTCTTGGATCTCCCCAGGGCACCAGCTGGGCACCACAGCCCTGTGCCACCAAGGGAGCCAGCCCAGCCATGCTGGGTGCCTCCAGCAGCCAGTCAGGTTCAGAGCTAAAGGAGACTTTTTGTTTTTTTTAATTATTATTATTAAGAAACCTGGATAAAAAGGATTTGTAAACACAATCAGTGACTGATGGAAGCGGTGGCCAGCTCGCATCTCTTTACAGTCAAAGCAAATGCTGCTCTTTTTAAAACAAGAACCCTCTACCCCAACCACCAAAGCCGGGTGACTTTAGGGAACACGAGCATCACATCTGGGCTGAGGGAGACCTGGTGGCTGAGCAGCTTCGCCAGTGGAACCAGCTGCTTCTTTCTTCCTTTATTTTGATATGGGCTTTTTTACCCACCTGGGGCAGCTGCTGCCATCACTTCCCTGGGGAAGGCTCCTTCCCAATATAGAAGTACATCCTGGTGTAGCTTCATCACATAGACCCATCATGGGGAGCTGGTGGCCGTAGGAAGCTCACCATCACTGATGCTCTGCTGTGGGCTGGTGGCTGCTGGCATGGCCAGGCTGAGAGATGGAGAGGAATCCCAGCTTTGGGGCTGGGCATCCCTACTCCTCTACCCAGGGAGATGGAGAAGGGAAGTGCCTCCCCAGAAATGGAATCAAAACCACATTATTTGGGTCAAACAGGCAGATGGGCTGTTTTTTTGTTGTTGTTTTTTATTAGGAGATGCTGGAAAGACCAAGAGAAAGGAAACCATGGAAAAAGTCTCCCAGAGAGGGACCCTCAGCGTACATGGTCGGTGACAATGCTGGGTGCTTTGGCACAGTGGTGGCACAAGCACCAGGGTGCCAGGAATGGGACAGGGGCTGCAGGACCAGAGCCCTAGTTGCAATAGTTTGGGGAACAATCACCATGGGTTTTTTTTGGGCTTGGAGATATTTTTTTACCCTTTTGTATGGGGCTTTCCTGCAGCAGCCTCTTACCTGTTTCTCTGCTTTGGTTTGGTCATTTTTCAGGGTTTTCTTTTTTTTCTGAGGTTTCTTTCTGCAGTTGTGAAACACAAGGGTTTGGGTCACCTGGAGCAGGCACTGAGCATCCCCTGGGCTGGCGAAGTTCATCTTTTCTGTGCACAGGGCTTTAAACCTCTGAGTTTCATGGTGGGTTTTGGTGGAAGCAGTGCCACCCCAGCATGAGCTGCATGACTTGCAACTGCTGCGGCCAGCCTCAAACCCCACCCTGGGACACAGAGGCAGATTGCAGCAAGCCCAGGTCTCCACCTTCCTGGGTTGGTTTCCCCTTTTTTTTTAGTGGAAGAAAACTAAAACCCACAAAACCACAAGCAACAATGAATGCCTTGACCATCTCCTGTTGGCTGCACCAGGCTGTGCCCACTCCTGTACCAGCAGAGGGGACTTGGCTGATTTATCTAGCAGTCAGACCCACTTCCCTCCTCAAGCACGGCTGGCTCTCAGCTGGGAAGTGCTGCAGGGGGACACGGACACATCCAGGTCACCATTTGGCTGGAGAGGCCAAATCCAGCTTGATGAGTCTGACCAGGGCCAGGCAGGCCAATCACAGGGTGAGCAGAGGTGCTGGGTACCAAACCCACTGGCAGCACAGTGATGGTGTCTGGTGTGCCTGTGGCTCCTTGCTATCCTGACAGAATTTTGGGGGGGTGATTTCCTTCCCCTTCCCCCTTTTTAAACAGTTATTGTTATGTAAGCTGTCCCAATAGGACTTGAGTCTTCTGTTTTTCTGGCAGAGCAGCCACTAACCAGGTGCAGGAGGAGGATGGTGCACAGCCAGCAGGAAGCTGTCGTGATGAACACCACTATACTGTACATAGAGGAGATGTCAGGCAGAGGCTATGGGCAGGGAAGAAGGGCCAAGGCTTTGTCTTCATCACATGGTGCCTGATGGAGCACCCATCACCTCCCACCCCACCGGGAGCGTGAGAGACACCAGTGCTCTGAGCTAGGGCTGGGAGCAGGCAGTTGCCTTCACCTGTAGCTTCTGTGTACATGGAGATTTCTGCACACAACTGTCTTAAAACAACTTTAAAAAAAACACCCAAACAATAAAAAACCATGCATCAGAACTTCTCTGTGTTTTCCTTCTAGTAGCCCTGCCTGCTAACATAGAATCATAGAATCAACTAGGTTGGAAAAACCTTTAAGATCCGGGAGTCCTCAAAATCTGAAACACTGAAGTGGGTTTTCTTCCCTCTGTTGCTTTCCTTTCCAGACACTCCATCCTCTAAAGGCAAGAAGACAGAACAGCTTTGTGAGGACTGTCTCTAAAGGCAAGAAGACAGAACAGCTTTGTGAGGACTGTCACATTTACAGAGCACCCTGTGCTCTCTCCAGGCCACCACATTGCTTTGCTTTTACCAGGGTAATGGGCTAGAGGTGGACAGTGGGACTGAGGATGCACCAGCCCACAAACACCAACCAGAGCAGCTAGAAGCAACCTGCAATGACACCTCCAACAGATCCCTCAAGAGGAGGCAAGACACCAATTTAGAAATGTATTTTAGTTCAAGACACACTACATTTCAATCATAAAATGGTTTGGTTTGGATTGGAAGGCACCTTAAAGCTCATCCAGTTCCAGCCCCCTGTCATGGGCAGGGACACCTTCCACTTCAGGATGTGAGGGAAAGGGAGCAGGAGGGTCAGTGGGTCTGGGAGTATGTCCTGCTCTCCTCTCTTCTCCCTGCTAGGGCTGCTACTACTGGGCTGGACATCAGCCACCAGTTGTGATTTGCACCCATGCAGCAGAGCAGGAGCTGGCCTGGGTGCCCAGCAGCAGAGCCCCGACACCACTGCTCTGACCAGAGCCCACCATTAGGTGATGCCACGGCTTGCCTAGACCCTGCATCCATGTCTGATACAGCTCTCCTGACCCTCTCTGGATGCTAAAAAAGAGGTCCCAGCTCCTAGCTCCCACCACCAAAGGCTGGACCCTGTAACAGGCCCAGTGTCCCAGCAGGATCCCATCCAGATGACCAGGGGATTGGATCCTGAAGGACACATGAAGCTCCTGTGCAACAAATCACTCACTTTGGGAGTAGTTAAAATGCCTTTTTAATAACATACAAAACCAGCAACATTTAGGCCAACCAAAACATGAAATGAAATAAAGCATGAAATAAATGCAGTCTATATAACAGCGTGGTCTCAGTGGAGAGGAGTAAACTCACTCTGACTTGTGTGCTTGGAAACAACTGTTCACATCCTACATCATGGGGTTTAGCCATCAGAACAGCTTTGTCTCTCCCAAACCCCTTTGAATCCAAAACTGGCAGAGGTGAAGCCACGGCTCCTCTCAAATGCAACCACCTGGTGCAAAGTTTCTACATCCCCAGATCTCAAAGGAGTAAAAAAGCATTGCCAAGCTGCTAGAGATGATCTGTGGGTGTCTGCCTGCCACAATACTGCAAAAGGAGAGGGAGATGGCTGAAGTGGATGGGGAACCACACTACTGAAGTTGTTCCTTGCTCTGTCCCACCTCAGCTATATCCACTGCACAACATTCGCAAGTGTAAGGCACTAGGAAAGTGTTTTCACAGGTTCAAACTTCAGTTCTTAAAATTTCAGCAGCAGCACACTTCAGAAGTCCTCCGAGCCCCTTAAAATCTCTGGAGATTGATGAAAGCATGAAGGGGCTTTGGACACGTATTGGTGCACCTGATAACCAGAAGTAAGAGTGGAGAAGGGAAGTACTGGTGCAGATGGCAGTCTCCTCTCAGGAGACCTGCCCTAGGTGCCTGTCCAAGAACAGGGAGCCCTTCTCCCACAGAGTTCAGGGGTCCTGCAACACAGCTGTGTATGCAAGAGCCATCACTCATACACAGGTAGGACAGAGCAGAAAGGGACAGAAAAGACTTTGTCTCAGGAGCAGCAGCAAGGAGTTGATGAGGACCAAAAAGGGGTTTCCCTGACCCATGCTGAAGATGCTGGAAGTGTCAACATCATCTAGCTGCCTGCCACTAGTCTGGAACCAGCTGCAGTCACAGTGCATGTGTGCTCCTTCCCCCAAATGTGACTCAGGTCGCTTCTCTAGTGGCGTAGCTTGTCATACCTGCAAAGCAGTGCTTTGTTGTTGCAGAATGGCTCCAAGAGCAAGGCCAGGGATCCTTGGAGGCCTTGTGCAAGCAAAGCAAAGTGTAGGCCTCACATGTACCTGACTGTCCTGGGTTCAGCAGCAGCAGTCATTTTTTGTCCTTCTTGGTAGCTGGTGCAGTGCTGTGTTTTGGCTTTCAGCTGGGAACAGAGCTGATAAAAATGATGTTTTGGTTTGGCCAAGGACTTTGTGAGTCTCATGCTCTGCCAGGGAGGAGGGAAGCCGGGAGGAAGCAGAGACAGGACACCTGACCCAAACTGACCAAAGAGGTATTCCATACCACAGCACATCATGCCCAGGGGGGAACGGAGAGGGACCCGGAAGGGCTAGGGGACTGCAGGGTTGGAGGAGGTATCGGTTGGTGCTTGGTCGGGCTGGGGGGGCAAGTTATCGGTCACCTGGTGATGGGGTGTTGTATTCTCTTCCCTTGTTATTTCCTTTATCATTACTATTATTGGTGGCAGCAGCAGTGATTTGTGTTATACCTTAGTTACTAAACTGTTCTTAACCCGTGGGAGTTGCATTCTTTTCGATTCTCCTCTCCATCCCTCCAGGAGTAGGGGGAGGACAAGAAGGGGGGAGTGAGTGAAAGCTGTCTGGTTGGGGTTAAATCACGACACTCCTTTTAGACAGAGTTCCTGGATGAGGTGATGGTGAGTGCCTGCAGCTATTTCAACAGCATGAAGCTGCCGGTGGTCCCCATGCTGTTCCTGGAGCTCCACAGCTCCTGGCACAGCCTGGCCAAGCAGCAGAAGATGGGTAGGCACAGCACCAGTGTGGGATGAGGCTGGGGTGGCCCTGGTGACAGAGTGCCTAGGGCTGGGTTCCATAGTGGGCACAGGTGCTCAGGGACAAGGGATGGGGAGCCAGGAGTGTTCCAGCATGAAGGAAAGTGCTGGAGGGCCACAGCATGGCTCTGGGGTGAGTGATGGTGTCCACTATCTGGGATGGGGAACCAGGTGTTTCCTGAAGCAAAGGATTCATGCCCAGGGCCAGGGATTGGGGAACCTTGGTGTCACCAGGGTGAGGGTGCCCAGAGGCTACGACTGGTTACTGGGGGGTGTCCCATGGATGTGGATGAGTGTTGGCAGTCGGGGGAGACCTGCACCAGGGAGCACAGCATGGGGCTGGGTGAGTGTTGCTGCTTGGAGGAGTTGGGGCAAGAAGGGCTGGATACCCTGCACAGCATCAAGGATGCACTGGACCCCCACAACCTCATAAGCCCCAGCAAGGTACTCTTGAGGGTGGCACCAGCACCAGGCTGGCACCCCTTGTGTTCCCCCAAATCCCCCATCCCCACCCCTGTGGGTCAGAGACCCTCAATAAACTCCTTTGCACCTGCAGCCTCCATGCACTGTGATGTCTTTTGGGGGGGCAGGACACCCCAACCCATCCCCAGGGTTTCCCTGCCCCAAGCAGTGCATACCCTCAGGGTGGGGGAATTGGTGGGGTCCCACTTTAGCCCCTTCCCCAGAAATGTGGGGTTGAGAGCTTTCCAAGCTGTGTTGGCCATCCCCATGCCAAGGTAGCTATGAAGAAAGGGGCACCAGCACCTGCTGCTTCACCAAGAAAGCCACTGAAATAAAATAACAGTGACTATTTTATTGAACATTGTTTTAATACCATATCAAAATACCTTGACTACTGAAGGAAGCCCCCCTCCCCCCCCCCCCCAAGCTCTGAACTCTTTGAAGGTTTTGGGTTTTTTCCCCTAGTTTTTAATATATAAATTCAGAAAGGTTTCCCACAGGGGCACAGCCACCAGCAGGGTAGGCCTCACCAGCAAAAACATACCCACCATGCCTGGGGATGGGCTGGGGGATCACTGTCAGGAACTGACTCCATCTTGGCACCTCTGGCAAAGCCACTGCCATGGCCAGGGTGGCCAGGGAGAGGCCATTTGGGACCTTCCCCATCCCCTCCTCAAAAGGGTTCGACTTCAAGGAGATGGCATGGAAGTTTTGGCAAGGAAGGAGTTTTGGCAAGAGGAGCCCAGCAAGGGGTGGCAGACGGGCAGTGGGAGGCTGTGGCTCTCCAGTCTCTGAGTGGTTATAGCTGAGTTAAAGAGTGACCAGTCTGTAAACATCACTGGGGCCGGAAAGAAGCTTCAGTTGTGGTTGGTGGGCTTTTTCTTTTTTTTGCCATTTTTTTTCTTTTTTTTTTTTGTTACTCATTGTAAACACTTGATAGACAGACCCCTGTGGCTCAGCAGAGGGAAGCAGTGTCCCCGTTCCCAGCATGGGGCAGAGTCCCCCATCTCCAGCTGCTGGGCCTGGGGTGGAGATCTCCAAAGGGGAGACAAGAAAGAGGAGAAAATTTCTGTTGAGTCAGTGCAAAACCACTGAGCAGAGCCCATGGGCAGGTCCAGGTGGGAGTTGCTGATGAGGAGTGCCACATGTTCTGTTTGGCCAGCTGTTTTCTCCCAACAGTTCCCCCTTTTGTTTTGGGGTGAAAAGCCAAACATCATGGCAGGGCTTTGGCCGAAGGTGTCCTTGGGGCCTCCTTGGCAGGAAAAGCTCTCCTGGTGACCAGCAACTGTGGAGGGGAGAGTGGGTCACTCCAGTGGTCTCACACTTGTCTTCTCCTGGATGGTTCTTTATTTTAAATTGTTTAAATAATAATAATAATAAAACAGAAAAAGGGCAAAAATACAATAAAATCCAACAAACCAAATTAAAATATAATTATAATAATAAACAATTTAAAAAAATCACTGTTGTCCCAAGTGGGTTCAAGTTTCTGAGTTTTATTTCTGTCTTCTCGAGGAATTAAAGTTAGCCCAAAACTCCAGGAGGGGCAGGGGGGATGGGGAGAGGAGGTACAGCAGGTATAACAAGGTGCCCTGAAAAGGCAGAGATGATCCCAGGTGAGGAGCAGGACAAGAGGTAACAGCCTCAAGCTGTACTAGGGGAGGTTTAGATTGGATATTAGGAACAATTTCTTCACTAAGATGGTGCTGAGGCATTGAAACAGGCTGCCCAGGGCAGTGGTGGAATCACCGCCCCTGGAAGTGTTAAAAAAACACATAGATGAAGCCTGCAGTGATATGGTTTATCAGTGGTCTTGGCAGTCCTGGGGTAATGGTTCAACTTGATGATCTTAAAGTTATTTTCCAACCTAGTTAATTCTATGATTCTAGGAGCCACAGCCAGCCCATTCCACCCTCCCAGCCCAGGATTTAAACCCAGCACAGGAAAATCTCATTTGCCCAGCCCACTGCAGGCTCACCTTAGAGAGAAATCAGCAAGCATGCCCAGTAGGTCAATTGGAAGGATGCTCCGGGCAAGATCTGTTCACTTCAAACCATGAGTCTATACAGCTACAGAGAGGAAAGCATGTCACCACCATGCTGCTGAGCCTCAGGATGTCCCCGGCTGTCCCCCTGCCACCCATCTGGCTGTATCCCCTGGTCCCTGTGCAGTACGTTTTGTGATAGATGCAGAGGCAGGGCAGCCTGGCTATCATATCCCCCTGCAGCAGCTCCTCCAGGCAGATCACACACTCACCAGAGTCCTTGGTCAGCACATCATCTGGGAGGAGAAGGCAACGGTGAGATGTGGTCCACTGTGGAGGTATTCCCATTCCTGGGATGGAGGGAAGCCCACGGTCACCTCTGTGGAGGCAGCTGGGATGGGGCTGGCTTCCAAAAAGGCACCACTGAGTAGGGCGTGAGCATCAAGAGGATGGGAGATGCAGGAGCAGTGCTAAGCCCAGTAAGCTTCACTGCTAGTGAGGGGAGGAAAGCAATGACCCTTCTGAGGGGCAACCCAGGAGGACACATGTCCCCTACCCCAGGCAGGACACCCAGACAGGACAGATCCCTCTGGCACAGCACACTGCAACACAGGGAGGGGGCTGTCCCCCAGAGGGTCCCAAAGGTGTAAGCGGCAGGGCTGTGCAAGGACTGTGAGCTGCACCATCCCACTGGAGCACAGCCCTTCAGCAAGCCCATCCAAACCGCCTGCTCATGCAGCCTGCAGCGTCTCCAGCCTGCCTGGAGCCATCCCAAGCCAGCAGGACACTGTGTCCCTTGCAGAACCTGGCTCTTACCATTGTAGGAGAGGGGAGGTTTGCTCAGACACATGATAAAGTGCATTTCCATCTCATCAGAAGCCACTAGTTTGGAGCAAATGGGGCACTTGAAACCTGGAGGGAGAGCGGAAAGAGCCCTTAGTGAGGGAAACAGAAGAGTCTATCCCACATCCCAGCAACAGGCAGCTCCTCACCTGCTGCCTGCATGGTGGCACAGACCCCCTGCAGTGCCCACTGGGCACCTGCTCATCCTGTGCTGGCTGCCAGCAGTGCCAGCATGGGGGAGAGCCACCTGAGAGGGGATAGCTGCCTGAGCCAGTGTGTGGGTCATCCCCATGCCTGCTGCGCAGAGGGCACGGGGAGCATGACAAGGCAAGAGCACACGTGGTCACCAGCTGCTGCCAGGCCTTAAAGGGCAAGCAGCAGCCAGGGGCACACAGCACCTGAAGCTGGTAAGGGCAGGGGCACATCTCTGTGCCTGGATGGTGATGTCTCTGCTGCCACAGCAAGCCAGGAAAGCTGCAAGGAAGGAGAGTTTGCTGTAGGCCTGCAGCAGAGGACTGGCAGGCCACAGCCATGAGCCCACATTGCTGCTTTCTCCACCTTTTGGCAGGAGAGAGGTGGGTGCTTAGCCCTCCAATGCCAGCCACCAGCTCCAGGAGCAGGGGACCCTGCAGGCTGGTGTCCCAGCTTGATCTTGGCACTGCCTGGCAACTCAGATTCTTGGATGAAGCTGGCCAGATCTGCTCTGCATCCTTACTTGGGCATGAGGATGGAGCCCATCTGGTGTCAGGGTATCCCACCAGTGGCACCACAAGCTCAAGCCATACAAACTGCCATGGCATCATCCTCAGCACCACCAAGCCAGGCTGCCCCAAACCCAGGCTTACTAAACCCCAAACTCTTAGGGAGCAAAACCCCACCCAGACCTGCAGGTCACCCACCCAGGACTCTTGTCCCACTGTGGCTAACTCAAGGCCACACAGTTTATCACTTCCCAGTGCAGTGGGGTCAAGCTGCCACAGCTAAACACATGCATGCCACCATGGGTTTGCACCAGAATATCTATCAACTCCCTGCCTGCAGAGAGGGTAACTTAAGGACCTGACTTCTAAAAGCAGATCACATTTGACTGCAGTGCTGCTTAAGAGCTTTCTTCATATATATGCAAAGGCTACTCAGGAAAGGAATGTACACAAATTATCTAAGGATGAATCAGGTTCTTGTTTACTACCACATGGACATGACAAGTGCATATTTTTTGCTTCTTGGAAAGGAGAGTGTGGGTGGCTTTAAGGGTAGGTAGGTCAGACCTCTGCCATGCAAACAGCCAAGATAATCTGTATTTATCATTGCTTCTAATGAGAGAGCAGTTACTTCCCAGCTCCTAGGACAGGGATGCCAACTCCTGCCCCTCTGGAGGGTAGTTATTCCCAGGGAGGGAACAGCAAGGATGAGCATCATGGATAGCAGGGGACTGGCTCTAAAGGGACCTGCTAAAACAGGGAGACCCTCTGGTAGGGTGTCACTGCAGGGACACATCCCTGCTACAGGGTTTCTGATGTAAGTCCAGCCTTGTTTGCACCAAGGCCTAGATGAAAGGGCAACACCAGCAGCTGGAGCCTCATAGGCAGCAACCCCAACCTGCCTTCTCTCCAGCCTAATTTTACTCCTGACTGATTTATACCTTGTGGCAGCAGTGCCCATTAGCTGAAATAGTCAGGTGTTATTTTTCTTTCTCCCAAGTGTTTATCCACCTGGTGTATTTATAGAGCAGGCTCAGATAGCCTCCCAGCCTGCCTCCTGCAAGACCCAATTAGCCTCCCCTTGTGAGACACCTTTCCTGTCACTCAGCTCCCCTGGCAGCCTGCCTGTCTACAGCTGAATCCATCCTGGTTGAAGGAGGATGGTCTCCCAGCACCAGGGAAGCTCTGGGGACTGGTTTCCAGGGGCAAGCCCCTGGCACAGAGTGGCTGCAAAGGGCTCCCTTTGGGAAAGGTGTTCCAGCTGCCAGCTTGGTGTCAGGATAAGGCACTTGCAGAGGTGAGGTACCATCCCCCATGCACCACAAGGGAAGACCTCATTATCTCTGTGTGTGTCCCTCCCCTTTTCTGTGCCAACGTGTTATTTTAAATAGCTGCACCAGATCTACCAGCTTCAGCATCATTCAAGGGGATCCAGTGAGATGTGCAACCAGGGCAAAGGATGAGACCACCCAGCCCAGGGCATGAAGCAGCAGGAGCCAGGGAAAGTGCAGGGCCCTTTACAGGTTCTGGTGAGCTCTGTTGCCATGTCTCCAGGCCTCTTTGCTAGCTGGGGTAGCTTTAAGCACAGTTATAAATGGCTGGCATGAACACCTATCACGCTCCTCAGCGCTCCCAGAGCAGCTGGCAGGGGAATAGGGACCCCCAGTGCCACCACGCCCCTGTGACAAGGATGTGGGGACATTGTGCAGATGGAGGGGCCCAGGCTCAAACCCCAGCACATGTGTGATCTGCTCCAGGCACAGATGCCAACTGCTGCATGGGTCTAGGGGCTGAGCCAAGTGCACACACTTCCCTGGCTCTCCATTTCACAGGACAGAGCAGTGGGGTGAAAATACAATTCCATAAATTCCTGGGTCCAAGTAGGAGTGAGGAGCCAGCATGGAAAGGCCCCTGGGGCAGGGGGCACCCTGCACTCCAGCTGTCAGCACAAATTCTTGGCATTGCAAAAGTAACTGCCTGCATCCCCCTCCATGGCAGGCACTGGAGCCTGGGAAAGGGGAGGCAGGGAAGGGGGTTTAGCTCCTTCACCCCTTCTCTGGGTGACTTTGGGGGAATGTTGTGGATGGAAAACCCAGTGAGGCGAGGGGACACCCAACAATGGAGCCCAGCACCACAGAGCATCCCTCTGTGGCTCAGGCAGGCGCTGGGGCCCAGAGCTGGTCCTGCAGATGAAAGGGCTACTCCCCCCATGGCCAGCCCTCCTCCAGGCTATGTGATTTTCCACATTCCCCAAAATCCCTGTTAATTTATCCTGCCTAAGATCCCAGTCCAAGCAATGAAGGAGATTACATTTTGACAGCTGCTCATAGAAAATTCCGCTCTCTCCCTCATCTTCAAGCCCTTCTCACCCTCCTCCCACAGGCATGGGAAAAAAAAAAAAAAGACGAAGGGCCCAGCTACTTCTCCTCACCTGGGCCTCCCACATCCATGGGGAGGCTTAGGGATGCTCCAGGGAAAGGCCATGGATCCTTCCTCCTTCCCAAGGTACCCTGGGCAGCTGATGACGCTCCTGCCTGCAGCATGTTAAACGTGAAGCTGGCAATGTCACCACATGTCACAGAGATGTGCAGGCAGGCACCAGCACTCACCAGGAGCGAGTCAGGAAGAAGAGGGGAAACAGGCTGGCCCAGAAAGGCAGGTTCAGATCCAGACCTGGACTCATATCCTGCACAAGACTTTGAGAAAGCCAAGAGCTTCCCAGGGCTTTGAGAGACAGGTTAGCAGGTAATGTCATCTCTCTGACGGCTTGGTCTAGAAGCTGAGAGCAAGCAGCACTGGTGCTCTCCAAGGGCTACTACCCTCTGAATACTTTTAGGAAGGTTACATAGTTAATTTTAGAGAGCTGGGTGAAGCAGAGCTGGGAACCTCTGAAAACCTCCAGCAGGTCCTATGCAAGTTGAAAAAGCCCTGCAGTTAATTCTCACAGTGGCAAAAGCACTGTCACACAGGCTGCCAGAGCTTTGGTGGTGGTGGTAGGGTCAAGACACCTTTCCAACCCACCTGTAAACATTTCAAACACAGCTGGGACAGGAAATTCCCATCACTTGTGTCTACAAGTAATGCCCACAACAACCTGTGAATATTAGAGAAGCCACTAAGCACTACAACATGGTCAAACACACTACATCCTGCAAGTTGAAGTGGCTGCTCCCCTTGGGGATGGGCAGGATGGTATCCATGGGAACTGCAAACACATCCCTGACCACAGGAAAAGGTACATGACATGTCCACATTTAATCACCAAACCCTCTGCTAGCTTGGTGTGCCTCCAGCAATGGGAAGAAAATGCTGGTGAGGGATGATGTACCCTGAAGGCAGGGGGAAGCAGCAACCCAGGCACAACCAACCCACCACATACAGAGTAGCACTCACCAAAGTCATAGCCAGTTGCCCAGGACTGCACTACCACAGTGGGATAAACCAGAAGTCCTGCATATAGCAGCATCCCCAGAATATGCCTACCTCAGCACGGGTCCCTCCCTCCATGCCACCACCCCATGGGACAACCTGATCAACAGGGGACTCAGGGATAAGCCCCAGGCTGCCTGATGTCCACTTCAGCTGCACAGCACATTTTCATGCGTCCAGAGGGCATCCTGGGCCCCTGGCCAAGGGAGCTAGCTTACACCAGGTCAGGATGTGCCTGAGCACAAGAACACAGGGAATATTTGGTCCAAGCATGCAGGTAGAGTCTTGGTGTCTCCTCCTTCCTGAGCAAACCCAGAGCATCCCAACTTCTTCTGCAGCTTCCCTGACCTCACCAGCTGAACTGGCATCAGGTGGAAGCTGGAAGAGACAGATCACCTTTAAAATAATATGCTAGTGATCGAAAAGGGCAGAAAGACTGAAAGACCCCAACTATGGGTCCAGTTGGTCAATCTGAAGCAGAGAAGTATGTGGGGTTGGGTGAAGTGAAGGGATTCTGAGTCCTCCCCTTCCTTTACCCCTCATGAGCTCCAGCACAACCCCAAGACGGATCATGGAAGAGTTGTCTTCCTCACCAGCCAAGTGAAGGAAACCTGTAGAGCCAAGATATTCAGACCTGACATTTCCTGGAAAATAAATTCACTCCGCATTTTTCTAAAGTGACCCCAGCTGAAGCACAGAGTACATTTTTCATATCGGGGCCAATCTGGACTGGTCAAAGGGCCACTGCATGAACTGTCAGTTGTTTAATTTGTTCAAAGGCTTGTTGTTGCTAAGGGCCCCATTTGAAATCATTCTTCTACTGGGTCACATGAGAGTGAAGGCTTACAATCGAACTGTAATTTGGGGTGTGAATTCTCCAGAACCCCACTGCACCCAAGAAAGCTTGTGTTTCTTCCTTATTAGTTGGTGGAGACATTG